TTTTTTTTTTAACTCCATTTTGAGTGAAATGTGGCATTTGGTGTGTTTTTGTTTTTGTTTTTACCTATTCGTAAGGTTTTGTTTTTTTTTTCCTACCTAGTTTTTGGCTTTATTACAGAGAGAAGTTTTTGGATAAAAACACACTTGCCTATTGGTGAAGTGTAACTGTCATCAAGTATTTATGGCCACACCTTATTTATAAAATATAGGTTAAATATATAAAAACTGTACTGATTCTTTTTAAGACTATATAGCACTCTGTGTTCAGAAGCAATTAAGCAATACCGTGTATATACTTACCTGCAAGAACTAACCCATTAAAACAGAATTTTTTAGCCATAGAAAATATTTGCTTGTCATTAAATGGGAGGGTTTTCTGCCCACTAGATATAATAAAGGAGTGTGGTTGTGATCCAATTTTAATTTTAGATCATTACAAATACGGATTATTGACTTGATAACTGCTGAATAGAATACCTCTTTTGTCCAGGTACCATCCCCAGTATCAGAACCTGAAGAAGAAAATGATCCTGATGGTCCCTGTGCTTTCAGAAGGCGGGCAGGATGCCAGTATTATGCTGTAAGAATTTTATGTGTGTGATATTTTTGTGAACTGGAATTAACAGATAGCTCATGTTAAAGGTGGCTAAGACTTGATCTAAAATTGGGAAGCACATCAGTGTTTCTTACTTAATACCCTTTTGTGATTACCAATAAAAGAAGCTAAATGCTACTGGGTCCTTTCAAGAGTATCATATCCTTTAATTGGAAATTGATAGTTCCTTGTGTATTAGAAATCTAGTTTCACTTTGGGCTTTAATTATATCTTCAAGAGTTGTGAAAATTAGCCCCAGAGTCTCTTAAGTTGGCTCTGGAACCTTTGATGGCTGCTGAGTATTGAAAATTATTGTTATATAAATATGTTTTGTGCATTTACTCAGTAAGTATCACAGTAATAGTTTTTAAACTTCCCTCATGGCAATATTTTGTCTGATAGTTGTATTCACAACTTTTTGATACACTTAGAAAGCTCTTTGTGCTGTTAAGTTCATTTGGGTGCAGCATTTTATAAGGGAATGGCCCTCTGTACTGCTAAGGTTTTCTGAAAAAGTACGTGTAACTATAGAGTTAGAAGGGTAGCTTTAGCCTTTATATGTAATTATGGACACCATTTGTCTAGTTGCATTATAATAAACATACTGTCGGCTTTTTCAGGGTATATTTAATGTAAGAGTGATGGGGATTTACTTACAAGTTACACTTTTGAGAGAAGAGGGAATTACTGTGGAAAAGAGACAAAATGGTAAAAGAGAAAGAATGATTAGTGTGATGGAAAGTAAAGAGTAAGCTTGTAGTAAAAAGAAAATGTATTCTCTTTTATTATAATAGAAAGACCATAAATTACTGATTTCACCAGCTCTACTTTCTATATAAATATTACACTAAGTATATAAATATTACACTAAGGTATAAATATACTAAGTGTATTTATATTTATAAATGAAATCAGTTTAGGCAATTGAGTAAATGAACTTTTGATTCAGTTCTATAAATTTTAACCTCATTAATAACATTTAAACCCAATTTTAAAGTTTTTCATTAAGATTTTATTTTTTTCTACTAACGCTGCAGTTACTTAATTTTTATCATGATTTAACTTTTCTTCATTTCAGATTTACTCCATGAGTTACTTTTTTTCTTTGTTTGCAGCCTCGTTTGGACCAAGTTAACCATACATGTGAAAATTTAGAATTGGCAGATTTAGACAAGTTGAGGTATAGGCATTGCCTTACAACACTCACAGTCCCGAGAAGATGTATAGGATTTGCAAGGAGGCGAATTGGCAGAGGCGGAAGGTAAATTATTTGAATTGACTTGGTTTTTATTTACAAAGGTCAGAGGAAGGGCAGCTTAGAGAAATGGTTATATGTGTCTTACATGTATGTTTTGTGTTCCTTTTCAGGGTAATAATGGACCGAATATCCACAGAACATGACCCAGTCCTGAAACAAATAGACCCTGAAATGCTAAATAGTTTTTCAAGCTCTTCCCAAACTACAGACTTTTCTTCTAATTTCTCTCGGACCAATGCTTCCAGTAAACCTTGTGAAAATAGACTGTCCCTTTCTGAAATATTAAGCAATATCAGATCATGTCGACTACAGTGTTTTCAGCCAAGGCTGCTAAATTTACAGGACAGTGATAGTGAAGAATGTACCTCAAGAAAACCAGGGCAGACTGTGAACAATAAAAGGGTCTCTGCAGCATCTGTAGCTTTATTGAACACCAGCAAGAATGGCATATCAGGTAAGCTATCACTTGTGTTACGAGTTTTTCCTGATGGTCTTTTCTCCTTAATTTTCATTATCCCCTAAATAAACTCACAGTAATTTTTGGAGGTTTATTTTCTTACACGCACTCAGAAAAGGAATTTATCTTAACTTATTACCTTTGTTTTTCCAGCCTAAGAAACAAAATCCTACTAATGTTCACATTTTAAACAAAATGCCCTAACTGGTATCTATAAAACCACTGATGTGTATTTGGAATGTGTCTGTCTGTCTGGTGTAGTGAGTGTGTGGGCAGAATGTAGAGAGAGTTCCTTATGGGCATTCTGCTTGCAAGCTGCCACAAGATTGTCAAAACAGTGATATCTGCTGCTTATGTTGAAGAAAAGTTTTACATTTGTGTACTAACTTTGCTGAAATCTTAACATTGCTCCTTGAAAGTACCATTGATGAAAGCCTTTCTGGAAAATGATTTTTTAGGATTCTCCCTCTGCATAGTTGTGACTTTTTTTTTTTCCCCTGATAACTTACTTCTCTAATTGAGATCAGGAAAGGGTTTTTTTGTTGTTGTTTTTTTCATCTTAAGAGGCATTGTGCTCAAATTAATTTACTAGTTTTATGACATGTACATTGTAAATGATAAAAAAAATAGAGAATCTAAAATACAACTTTGTTTTCTTTTTGTGTACTTGTCTATTACATGTATACAAATATGTCTAATTTATAAATATCCTTATAATGTATATATTGCAAATAATGCATGGTATCCAGTGGGGGCAAAATAGGTGTGACTTGACTTACACTGTGGATATCCTTCCTTTTGTAAAACATAAGTATTTCTAAATAATTTCCTAGATGATGCATTTTAGGATATGAAATTATTTGAACTTCTTTATCTTTAACATGATTTAAAGTTATTTTAGCTTGAAATTTAAACTTAATAGTGCTTAATCTTATTTACTGAAATGTCTGTTTTATAATTTGATAAAGACATTTATCTGTTCAAAGGTTATAATGGAAAATTAGATTCGTTTGAATGAGTGGAAGTTAGTATATCATTTCCCCAAATTTGTTGCTTAATTTTCTCATAAATGAACTTAGGTAAAGAAAATGTCATCCCATTAGATAAAGTTCATGAGTCTGTGAAGTTAAATGAGCTTTTGGAGCTGAAATGGATAAATACTTAATATGAGTCGAGGTCACAGGGTTCCTAGAAATCTAAAGATAGTAGAAAGTTGACCAGTGTTAGGTCAAATCTTTTTTTAGCCAACTCCCAAAACATAGTTCAGATTTTTTAAACAGAAATTTCTGTACCAAACATTACTTAAAATAATTTCTGCCAAAAAGAAAGTTCAAAACATCATATATAAATTTATAATTTAATTTGACTGTAGGCTGAATTTTTCTTCTAACAATGTAATACCATATGAAAAATGGTTCTAATGTGTTTCTTCTCAACTTGAAGAGGGCCAGATATTTACAGCTTTCTAATATATGTCCCAGATATCAACTCTAGATTTATCTTTACCTTTTTTCTAGATAATGTATATTCTACTTGTTGTATCATGAATACTAAATGATACTATACTCAAAATATAACTTAATGCAACTTAAATGATTCCCTGATCATCAGTTCTATGATTCTATGATACTACCCATACATCACTGTAAAATAAACATTTAAAATACTAATCTTAAGTGTGTTTGCACATTTCAGGGAACCTAAATGCCAAGCACGCAATGTTAACATCATAACAAACCTTGTAATATTTATTGTTGTTGTTATTTTTCCTGTATTTTTAAATACCCTTACTATAATACCATTTCCTTTAAAAAAAAAAAAAAAGCAAGGCTTAAGCAGCAAGTAAGGTACATTAGAAGTCTACTTCTAATCAGGTCTTTCATATTTAACTACTTGTTACTAGAATAAGGATTTGTTTAAGTATTTCCTTCTGTACTGGCTGTGACTGTCTAGTCCTTGAGGGCATGATGTCTTTTGTTAATAAGTTTCTTTTGTTTTAAAATATTAGGCATTGCAGCTGAGGATGTAGCTCAGAAATTGAGTGCTTACCTAGCATGCTTGAGGTCCTAGTTGTGATCCCTAGCACCACCACCAAAAAAAGAAGAAGAAAAACTAAGCATGAGAGTATATATCCCTAATGAAAAAAGTCTTTTAATACATTTTTATAAACAATTTTAAATTCCCATTGGTATCAGTTATATTCATCGTATAGATTTCTAAGTTCTGGCTAAAAAGAAGAATTTAATTATAAGTGAATTTAGTTATAATTCAGTAAAAAGCCAATATAAATTCACTTATCCACTTATAGAGAAGGATGTAGGAGTTCTCAGAAAATGTTATTTTTACTTTCAATGGGCATACATGAAAGAATGGAATGTGTATAGTCAGTTTCTTTTACTCTGTGTGTCTTTAATAGTTTTGTCTTCTGCTTATTTTTAGTGAGCTTGGTCATGAAAGCATATGTGTCTCTAAGAATGAGACTGACACAGGACCGTATCTTTACCTGACAGAGAATATCACTGATTAAATAAATTATTAGTACTGAATTTTCTTTCATAGCTGAGAAATCCCAGGAAATAGTTTAATCAGAAATAGAAATCAAATGTATTTGGCAGTAGTATTTATTTTTATCACAAGTTCCTTGATTCTTAAGGAAAGTATGCAAGCAGGCTGTATTTTATGTAAACTTGAGGGCAAAGATTTTCTTACTTTTATGTTAGTAACGCTGGTTAATGTTTTTTAAGTCATAATCCTTGTGTCCTAACCATATCCTATTTAGTTATTTACTTAATTAATTAATTTAGAGACAGGTTCTCACTGTTTAGCCCAGGCTAGCCTCTAACTCATGATCCTCCTGCCTCAGCTTCCAGAATGCTGGGATTGTAGGTGTGTACCACCATGCCCAGCTTACATTTATTTTTTTATATGCTTAAAGGAAAATTTACATGTGTGTCCTAGGTATTAAAAGAACTGAAACAAAACACTATACATTTGAGCCGGGTGTCAGTGGCTCATGACTGTATTCCTAGTTACTTGGGAGCAGAGTTCCAGAGGATCAGTTCCAAACTAGCTTGGGGGCAAAAAAAGTGTAGTAGACTCCACCTTAACAGAAAGAACAAAAGACTTTACATTTGAAATGAAAAGTATATGTTTTATTAAGAAAAATAAAGATATGTTTACTTAATTGAAACACTTAAAAGCAAATCTGAGAAAGAAAAGATAGGCTGTGCAGAACACAGGAAGTGAATAAAGTTGGGGGTTGGTTTGTTTTGGCACCGGTGGTTGAACTCAGAGCCTTGCACTTAGGGCCCCACCACCAGAGCCACACCCCCCAGCTCTTTGTGCTTTGGTAATTCTTGGTAGGATTTCAGTTTATGTCTAAGCTGGCCTAGACTGCAATCCTGTTTATGCTTCCCTTGTAGCTAGGGTGATAGGTGTGTGACACTGTGGTTGAGATAGGGCCTCACAAACTTTTTGCTCAGGCTGTCCTTGAACCTCCCATTCTCTGCCTCCTAAGTAGCTAGTATTACAGCCTTAAGCCACCCTGCACAGCCAAGAGGTACAAAGTTTTAAAAAACTATCTTCAAGGAACTTACAGCATGTGGCAAATATTACATTCTTTATATAAAAAGAGGATAGGTTTTTAGCCATTTGAAATTGCAATACTATTCATTCTTTGAGATAACTTTCTTCAACCCAAAATTTACACTTCATCTTGGCTTTGTCTAATGCACAGTTAAAATTAACATGATATATTTTTCTTTTCTGTCCTTCTTTAATAGATAATAATAGTCCCCCCCCCCTTTTTTTTTTTCTTTTTT